CTCTTGAAATTGAATTTAACAATTCCCTCCTCTTCCTTGATATTCTCATAATCCACAATGAAATTGATTTTAGCACTACTGTGTGCCGTAAACGCTTTGCAATTTGTTTACCACCCCATGCTAAGTCATGCCACCCTGTTAAGCAAAAAGTGTCTTCTTTTTAATATTATGTATTTCGTGCGCTCAAAGTTTGCTCTTCAGAATCTTTGCTTACCAGTGAACGTAATTATTTGAGAGCAGTTGCTATTGAACGAGGATTTTCTCCCATGATCATTGATAAAGCTGTTAAAAAATTTTCAGATTCCCATCAAAGAAGACATTCCACTGTTAGAAAATAATATTAATGACCTTGCGTGCTTCCATTTTATCCTTCTGTTAGCTATAAAATTGCACGGATTCTCCAGAAATTCAATTTTCAAGTCGGTTTCTCCCCTATTAATAAAATTCACCTTCGATTCTAAAAGATTGCGTTTCTGTCTTGAATTCTTGGGGAATTTATAGTATATCGTGTCAGTGTGGTTTAAGATATATTGGCCAAACAAAAAGAAGCATTGAAGTTTCATATCAAGGAACATGAATCTTATGTCAGAAAAGGCGAAATTAACAAGTCGTCAATAGCGTATCATAGTTGGACATTTAACCATAATTTTGACTTGGTCTGCAAAAATTATCCAAAAGGCTTCTTCTCCATGGTGAATTGGATTTTCTTGAGGCTTTTCACATTCACAAGATTTATTTAGTTTGGTTAGAATGATTTTAAGTCCAATCCATCCTTCCTAATGCTTTAAAATTCTACTATCTTAATTCAGGTACTATTTTTGCCGATAGATGGTTACCTCCTCGCGTTTGGTACTACCAGAGGTATAAAAATCCGTCAGTGGTTGCTTTCCATTATTCGAAGTTCAGATTTTGAGCGTGAAGGTGCAGTTGCCCCTCGCTCCCTATTTTTAACTTCGCTAATTTTTCTTGTCTTTGTGTACATGTTTGATCAGATAGCCTGGCTCAGTAAAAGTAGGCGGCCAGTGTAACTCTGATTAAAAATCGGTTATAACCACGTGCATGCTGATAAGGACCACGTGTTTCTGAGACTCCTTCCCCTTTATTTTCTTCTTTCTAGGTATTCTTTCTCCTATGAGGAACTTTAGCTGCCCTCGAAATCGATGGTGTTCAATATACTTACGCTAAATACAAGGTTGTTTTTACGATTTTGACATCTTATATAGTTACGGAACAAAAAGGATGCACCCAGTAACAGGATAAATCTTTACTGTTTATCAATGCATGCATTTTATACGGATTTTATATCATTACAAAATTTTGCATGTGTTACCAGCAAAGTAAGAAATAGAATTCCTGAAATACAATGCCTAGGTATTATATGTAATGCCAGAAGTTTTTATGCAAAGTATGAAATATGAGAATTATTACACATTTTCCCTAGGCATTCTATAGAATGACAAATGCTCTTATGTATGAAAAAACAGTTATGATAAGGCTATTTTTTAAAAGATGTTCAATACTCAAAAATACAAATGTTGTTTTGAAAAATTAATGAAAGATTGCTATTAACAACTGTTATTCAATATATGCACAAAAAAAAAAAAAAAAAAAAAAAAAAAAAAAATAGTGAGATGATCTTCACGCAACCTAATAAATTTGTATTTTCTTTCTGGTTGAGACATGGAACCAGCCAGTAAGATCTACCTGACAATGGAAATTAAATTCAGAAACAATTATAGGTTTTACAACAATGTCCTTTTTAATACTTTTTTGTTCTTTCTGGCAGGGCTCACAAAGATGGTTGTACAATCCAATGTCATTAAGTGTAATGCTTTTGTATTTAGTTGAAAGTTCTTTCAACTTTCTGTCACGTTGTCTGCATCCCGTACTCAAATGAGTTTTCATGAGGTATGGGAAAAAACTCAGCATCCATGACGTAATACTGTATAGTACTGATGCTTTTATTAACAGGATAAATTAATGTACTTTTGTTTTCCACAAACTTCATATCCTAGCGATTCAGCGGCCAGTAGTTCCGCAGTTCCTTCTTAAGAGTCATTTTGGCTTTTATACATCATTTATTAACTTCTGATAAGTAGCTTTGGTTATTTGAAATGAATCAGAAATGTATTTCATACTTTGCCAGTTTTTAATTTGGCATTTTATAGAATGCTTAAAAAATGTACGAAATATGAGTTTCATACACTGCTGGCTAGTTTTAGCATTATATACAATGTGGGATTTCAAACTGTGCCAGTAACATATGTATATTAATCATTTTACGGAAATTGCATGCGAAACTGTATTTATTTTATTTTATTTTTTTATGTGTATGTGTAATGTAGCATAGAAACTAATGAAGCGAGGCTTTGCTGGAAAAGTAAGATTGCAGAGGATAGTCTATTTAACACTTAGTAAATGACTATCTTGCTAAATAGGTGAGATGACAAATTTGGTGAGAAATCGCCAAACTTGGCAACCATTTGGTGACATTTTGGTCCAGTTCCTCTATAACTGTAATGGGTATTCTGATTAAATAACTGTAATTGATACTATATGTAGCTGCAACGGCATGCGGCCTTCATATACCTTCCAGTAATTTCGAAAAATGGAATTTACTAAAGATTTCTGGCCATGCGGTTGAAAACTATATAAGACCAGGTACAGAATCTGCTCTCAGTTGTTAATTCAGAGCCAAATTCTAAATATTGAGATATCCGTAAGAGCTTCGCCTTTTAGATGCGCTTTACATTGCATTATGTTTAACGTTCTTAGTAGTTTGAAATGTAATTACTGACTGTGCTCTGTGATACTGAGAAGAACTATATGAGTATTTTTGTAGAAAGTTGTCTAGAATTGTAAAGTGTTTCTTTTAGTAAATTTTTTTTTTCAAGCTATCATCGGTTCTGTGTGCATTCAATCCATTACAAACTCGTAAGCATGCAACAATATGCTGAAAAAAGATAGCCCTTTCAAACCAAAAAAAAAAAAAAAAACCTGCATAAAAATGTTTAGGACATCAGTGGTATTATATATAAACACTTTTTAATGGAAAAACTTTCCATTTCTTTTCGTTTTCCAAAAATTTTTTTTAGATTAAACACCGTAAAGTACATAAATATTAAGTTTTTGTCTATTCATATGCCTTAATATACTCATACGCTTTTTTAGTTTTTATGCAAAATATGCTCATCAACTACTGAAGTATTTTTATAACAATGTGATACATACAAATTAATAACAAAGCCATACATAAGTAAATAAAAGATTGTTGATAGTTTAAGGGTTCTGAGAGTTTCACACATTTTTCAAGGCATCTCCACATACAGTCAAAAGTCGTTAATCCGGACTCGTCGGGACTTCGGCGATTCCGGATTATCGATTTTTCCGGTTTATAGATCATCAGTTTAAATCTCGTAAGATGGCATGCACAAATTCTAAAACTAAAAATATGAAACCGTAATTTATGAAATAAAGAACAATTATGATCTAAAGGGTATCAAAATTTACAAAAAAAGAAGCTTAATATTTATTTGTTTACTTTATTAAACATTTCTTTCAATGTAAGTTGTTTCGTTTTATGTGATAATACTTTCTCTTTAATTCTATAAACAGACATGATTTCTTGTTCAATTACAAGTCCCGTAATTGCTGTGCCGAGAATACCGACTAACTTGTTAATCGAAAATTTTTCGTTTTCACTAACCTCTCTGTCACCTTCTTCATGTCTTTATTCATTTTTTGCAGCAATTCCACTTTTTGTTTGACGGACATCGAGACATACTTTCGTTTTGTAGATCCTTTGGGAGCTCCAGAATCGGAAATTGACATAATCGAAAGTTCAAGTTTACTTTTATAAAATTGCTCTTACAGTCTACAAAAAATAATAAGCCGCATCCAATTCGAAGATTAAGGAACAACGCAATCATCAACATTAACTGAATTAGATAATTATATAATTTTAGCTTGCACCGTCCGTTATACATTAAACGAGCACGTGAAAACGTATTCTGCACTTGCACACACGCATATGCGCGTGCGCGTGTAAACGCCTATGCGCATGTGTCAACGCGGCGCATGCGCAGAAAGTTTTTAGCTTTGAGGTCCGGATTATAGATCATTCCGGATTATGGGTGTCCGAATTAATGACTTTTGACTGTAGTTAATTTTCTCCCTAGTATAAAACTGTTTACTTCATAATTCACATTCAGTTTAGTTGCTGATAAAACAGAATTTATACAATATTCATAAAAATACTTAAATGTAACTAAAATTTTTACCTACTTCTTTCAACATTTTAGTACAATCTACTCAAAATAAAAATTATTTATATTCACCTACTCTTAAGGTCTAGCCATAAAATATATAAGGCCCAAAAATTTACTCTAACAGGAATGGAAGCAATACACTTCAGAGACTTCTAATGTAAATAATCTACTAATGCAAACAAATGAGAAATCTAGACTACTCATGATCTTGAATAACTCTGAGAAATTCTAACATGAATTAGAACATGAAACGAAATCACATGGGATCAAGAAAAGTTAAAGTGATAAAATATTTCAAAAACTTGCTCTTTTTTTTCAAGTAGGGGGTAAAAAATTAACTAGTATTTCAGAATAAAAACACACAACAACTTAATAAACTTTTCCATAGCATTTCAGAATAAAAACACACAACAACTTAATAAACTTTTCCATAGTATTTCAGAATAAAAACACACAACAACTTAATAAACTTTTCCATAGCTGGCACACAAGTCAACTCAACATTTTATAAGGGATTTTTAAACTGCTAAAAAGCAAATCTTAAAATGTGAGCAACACGAGGTTTAGCTAATAGTCAAGAGTAATATTCACTAAATAATATAATGAAAATCGAAATTACATTAACTAAAAATTACATATTTATAACAATACAATTTATGATATTTAAATTAAGGGCATAAGTTCATAATCTGTTTTACATGAACATACAAAAGATGCCTAAAAAATTATTACCTTAAGGTCAGAAAATTGCATCTGAATTTTAGGCCTCTCCTGACGATATTTTTCAAGTTCTATCTTGAGCTTCATTTCTCTAAATAAATAAGTAGTAGTAGTAATAATAATAATGGTAATGATAAAAATGCGAAATTTTTAAATACTGTTTCCCCCCCTAGATATATATAAAATAAATACATTTCACGATAGAAATGCTGCTTTTATTGCCTTTTTTTATACAACATTTGGCAGTTTTTCAGACAGAGTTGACAATATAGCATTTACTACTTCTACTATCATAAATTACAATTTTTAAAAAATGTAATCTTTAAGAAATCAAAATTATTTAGATAAAATTTACAAAATATGAGCATATTCCTCAATTTCTTTAAGAATATGTACTTAAAGAACAATTATGATCTAAAGGGTATCAAAATTTACAAAAAAAGAAGCTTAATATTTATTTGTTTACTTTATTAAACATTTCTTTCAATGTAAGTTGTTTCGTTTTATGTGATAATACTTTCTCTTTAATTCTATAAACAGACATGATTTCTTGTTCAGTTACAAGTCCCGTAATTGCTGTGCCGAGAATACCGACTAACTTGTCAATCAAAAATTTTTCGTTTTCACTAACCTCTCTGTCACCTTCTTCATGTCTTTATCCATTTTTTGCAGCAATTCCACTTTTTGTTTGACGGACATCGAGACATACTTTCGTTTTGTAGATCCTTTGGGAGCTCCAGAATCGGAAATTGACATAATCGAAAGTTCAAGTTTACTTTTATAAAATTGCTCTTACAGTCTACAAAAAATAATACGCCACATCCAATTCGAAGATTAAGGAACAACGCAATCATCAACATTAACTGAATTAGATAATTATATAATTCCTCAATTTCTTTAAGTACATATGTACTTATGAGGTGATATAAAAAAGAATACCCTTCTGTTTTATCGGGACCGGTTTCAGAAATGTATGTATGGATATACGTGTTCACGTATGCTTGTAATATACACACATATGTATGTACATATATACATGTATGCTTGTAATACATGTATGTATACATAGTCATGCACACATATGTGCATAGTCATGCATACGTATGTGTGTGTATATATTCACACATATGTGCATATATATACATTTCTAAATCCAGTCCCGATAACAGAAGAGTACCCAAAAAAGTTTTGAGACCAATTCTGTAACACATTAACAGATGGCAGGTACAGTCATAGGAATCAGTGTGCCAAGACACATTGTATTGTGTGCATTGGTAGCCATGCAGCTCACACTATTGCAACAATCTTTACCATTTTTAGGTTCCAACATAAATAGAAAGCTTGAACAAAGATTGAACATGAAATTTTCAGTGAAACACAGTAAATCTGCTATTGAGATGTGCACATGATGCAGCAAGTTTATGGCTATGCTGAAATGAGTTGTGTAAGGTGTTTTGAGAGTCACATGCACTATGTCGCACTCACATGAGTGGTAAACTATCAGTGGAAGATAATAAAACAATCAGGAACACCTTCAGCGAGCTCAATTCCAGAAAATCTATACTATGCATCCTATCACTATTCTCTCCTCACACATGAATTTCTCACAAGACACAACATGATCTCATTTCTCCATACACTATACTCTTTAGGTATGGTTCCTGTGACCTTCACCCTTCCCCAGCAGCTGAAAATCCAACTTAAAGGGCACTGTTTTGACACTATTGAGAAGATCCTGCACAAATTGCAGAAGGTACTTGTTATACTTTGAGAAATGGACTTCCTGAAGTGGCAAAAATACCAAGAGAGCTCTATTGCTGTGCAAGTTACTACTTTGGCAAGATACTAAGGTGATAGCATGTTTCTTGACAGCAAAGTTTAGCTGCGTTCACACAAACGCGTGTAAGCGTTAACCAATCAGAAACGAGTTCAGAGGCGGCATTTGCCGGATTGCCGGAGACCACGTCAGTTGATTTAACTTCAACTTTTTTATGCTTGACACGTGAGTTTCAGGCTTCTCATTTCAAATGTCCAGTTTATGTCATGGTTTTTAAATAATTGCACTTTCAAAAATTCTTCTTGATGAAAAAAAAAAAAAAGTTAAATGGACTAATCTTAATTAAAATGCATATGCTAATAGAATAAATTATTTAAAGGAAAATTCTCAAGTTTATTAGTAGTAATAAGCCTTAATAATTAGCCATAAATGATATATGGTTGATAATTTTTACAGAATAACCTAAAGCAATAGGTTGTTGCGAGAAAATAGTGATAGATTTCGAAATCCCAGATTCTGAATTTTTCCTAAAATAAGTCTACATCAGTTTAAGTTTGCTCTTGTTGCCTAGTGGATAAAACGTTGGTTTCTTGAGTTAAAGATTTTGGATTCAAGCATCACCAGAGTGGTGTTGTAATGGAATTGGTATTTATAAAAAAAATATTTAGAGAAAATATTATGGAACCCAGATGCTTCTTCAATTTTCTGAGCGTGAAGTTTGAAAATGATGCTTACCCATAAGGTACCTTAACGTGGAGGTAACACGCTCAAGTAAAAAATTTAGCTTTTACTAGGAGCTTGTTGCGGGTTTGGGTATTTCTCATCAAAGGTAGGAAAACTACCTTTGATGAGGTACAAATATACTTCTTTTTTTAATCTACCGCGACTTTTTTTTTGGGGGGGTGATACAAGAAACTTGCAATTGTTTTTCATTTCATTCATGCAAACCTAATTTTTGCTCGGCATTGTGTGCATTATCCTTCTTTTGACAGCGAGCCTTTGGTATAATTCATAAGAAGATCTGACTACTATGATCTGATTCTATTTCGGCTGACACGAGACTAGTAAAAGTGATAGTGGTATTAGTATAAAGTTGCTGTTTCATCTAATTAAAAAATTTAGTTAGTTCTGAATTTTAAACGAGTGGTGACAAGTAAACCATTGTTTAAAAAACAATGTTATTTATACAGAAACATTATTATACAGTGTTATTTATACAGAAAAGAAGCTTGCTAGTATGTATCTGATTTCATGGAATACTTCTATGCATTTTAATGGCTTCATGTCTGTTTTCATGACCACTTTCGACAGGTTTAATCTTGATGATAATTTTTCATTAATTTAAAAAACTTTTGCATGAGCATTAGTAAATTTGCTAACTGTGGAATTCAATTTTTAACGGAGAAAAAGAAGTATTATATAAAATGCAGTTACTTCAATGAGTTTTAGATAAAAGTGACCTTATAAAATAAACCTTTAGATAGTGGCTGTTCATTAATATATGAATGACTAATTGAAGTAATTACTGTTACATTTAACGTAAAAAATATATACATAAGGCAGAAACTAAAATATTTTTTTTAAAAATTAATGTTGTTTATTAACTTAATAACTGCTTTTTTAAGTGTGATATTTAATTTAGTAATGTCGTAAATCCCACATATATTTAAATGAAATATATACTTTTATTGCATTATTTAAACCGATTAAGGGAAGTTTTTTTAAGGAAGCATTTAAGGGAAGTTCATACATCATAAGAAAACATTTATGGTATTCTACCACATGAAAAATTTACTCTCCAAAATAGAATCATGCAATTAAGATTTTTTTAAATATCATTCAAAAAAATTCATAAATAAATTAAATTAGATATATACAGTGTTTGATATATACAATGATACTTTTCTGGAATATCCTATTCCTATAGTGCAAACGATTCTTTTCTGGGATATTCTGACAAAAATTAGTGTTCTGCTTTTGAATAAATAGTTCAATGAGCACTAGAAATTCATCGAATTGATGAGGTGTCATGAGAAAGTAATTAAAAGAAATTTCATTTTGTTCAAGTGCATTTCTTCAATTAAATTACTTGCATCTCCTTACTGCAATCATCTCTCACATATTAATGTAAACCACTGCCTTCTGCTTCTCTTACACAAAGCAAGAAGTAAAATAAGTTTTAATCAAGCAGAAATTAAATCCATTTTAATTCAAAAATGTAATCGTAAAAAGTCAAAATACCCCACAAAAATTTCACATTTTTCCAAAAGTTTCCGATATGAAGCACCATCTAGTGCGAGCATATGACAACTTTTAAAGCGAAAGTTGCCATGCTAGTGTGAACTGACATAGGCGGAAAGTGTTTTATTACGCTTTGACACTTCATGCCCCAATGGACCAGTGTGAACGTAGCTTTAGTATTGAAACTTTTTGATGCTCCCTTATGTATATATATATATACACTTGTATGGAAAAAAATATTATTATTATTATAAGTTTTACATTCCGTTTTTAAGAAAGAAATAATGCAAAAAGACTAAACTAATATATTTTTTCCCCTTTCATTGGAATTATTCTAGTAACATTAAATTTGACAGGTGCAAAAATATTAAAATTTTTTATTCCCTTTCAGTTAAATTTAAAATAGCCCATATTAGCACTAATAAATCAGGATCTAAATATTAACCCACACATATAAGCATTCTGCATGGTATTGCTTTTAATAAGTCATACCTGTATTCTTTTCTTTTTTGATCCATTCGTTTGTCAATAGCTTCATATATAGCATCAGCTTCTTCATCATCTTTATCATATGGATCTTTGCTAAACAAACTACCACCATACCCAGCAAACTAATTATGACAGAATAAATTAAGTAAAAGAAAAAAAAAAAGTTTCAAATAATAGAAATTTATGATAAGTCTAATACAGAATCAATTTTAATATGATTTATATTAAAATACCCTAAATTACTTACTACAAGGTATTTTTTTAATTATTTAGCATTAAGTACACTATTATTGAAAGGCTCTTTGTAATGGAATAAAGTGTAAAATATTTACAGCATATATAATACAAGTATATTTAAAGTTTTTAAACATATTTAACAAATTAAAAAGTAAAATTAGTATATTTAATTCCAGAGATTATGTTTTAAATTACTTTAAATGAAAAGGCTATTTTCTTTACACACAAAATTTGAAAGGGAAAAAAAGATAACACCCAGTACTTTTTTTTTTTTTTTTTTTTTTTTTTTTTGTAAAGGTTCATTCATAATGCATATGACCAAATTCGAAGGACAATGCTTTCAAAATACTGAGAAAATCTGAGGCACATTATATACGACTCTTACTGTAGAAATATCAGTTTTCAAATTAGCCATTTAATACTTTCACAAAGTGAATGGAGAATTAAACACTGAATGAAGTACAAGAAGAGGTTTTTCAAATTCTCAAACAAGAATTTTTTAACTTTACTTTTGATAAAACTTGTCAAAATTGAGAAAGAAATTCCCCCTCTCCCCCAATGCTTGATTATAAAAATTTCACCAAGAGATTAAGATATCACTTACAATTTGAAAATCAAAAATAAAATGAATGCTAAAAAAGTAAAAGCTGAAAGCACAGTCAAAGAAGAATATCGATTAAACTCTGTACAAAAGCCCTTATCTCAAAAAAGCAACTGACATTATCTTCAATGAAGATACATCAGTACATACAAAGATCAGGAATGAAAATGGTCACTAATAGTAACAGCCAATGAAAAGTGCAAGAAATATTTTTATTTGCATATCAAATGCATTGCAAGCATAAATTTTGATTTTATCTATTGCAGCACTGTCTGCTACAATTGACATTACAAAAGAAGAAAAATACAATATACAGAACCTACACAAATGTGACAATACACAGATTTGAAAAAAGCAATTTGTCATCTTTTTTTATGAGCCAAAAGCTTGCGGCACCTGGGTGTTTAGCTGCTTGAGTGGAACTGATATGTTCTAGATCATGAAAAATTGCAAGATTGAATTAATATTTATCAATAATATAAAAAAAGCTCAGTAATTATTAAAAACATTATAAATAATATCAACATTTTCAATTAATAATCTAGTATTATTTGCATTCAAGCATTCATGAGTCTGCCAGTGTCCTGTTAAAGCTGAGTATAGTTAACTGTTTCCATTGCCCAAATGTAGAATTTTTGTTAGTACAGTACAAAGTCTGTAATCTGGACGTCCATTATCCAGAATGATCTACAATCTGGACCTCAAAGCCACAATTTTTTTTTTTTTTTTTTTTTTGTATGCTTTACGCATGCGCTTGCGCATTGGGAGGATGTGTCTCCAGATACATTAAAAAATGCTTGGCATAATTTATGGCCAGCTGCCATATTTCATTGTGAGGACGATGAAGATGATAGCCATGAATTAAGGTTTTCAGACATCGCAAACCAAAAGTGAAATTTTCCAGTCATTGGATTTTGTAAATAAATGTGGAGAAGCGGTAATAAATGAAGATGATATAAACAGAATATATTTTCCACTGTGCATGACAATATTTGCCCCAATCATCAATCAAATTAACGACATGGGGAAATCTGTAGTATGGTTCTAGATCCAGAAAATACTGCTTCCGATAGGTGGAACTTTGTAACTGAACAAGAAGTTATGTCTGTTTATAGAATTAAAGAGAAAGTATTAGCACAAAAAACGAAGCAACTTAAACAACTCACATTGAAAGAAACATTTAATAAAGTAAACAAATAAATATTAAGGTACCGTAATTTCGCGCGTATAGTCCGCAGACTATCTGTGTTTAAAATGCGAATTTTTGAAGCTGCGGACTATCCACCAGTGCGGATAATACGCTGGTTGTTCACGGTTAAAATCGAAGCGCGAGATTAGAAAACATTCGTATGTATCATATCGATAGTAAACCATAGAGCATAGTGCAGAACAAATGAGTAGTACCAAGTAGATCTCCTAAAATCCAGGCTGGCGCATCAAGTGATGCCGGATATGAGCACTCAGCGCAACCAGAGTCTTGTATCCCAGTATCCTTCGCACTGCTTTAGCGCAACTGCAGGGAGGGGGAAAAGTAGTTGATGCGTCAGCTTGATTTTTAGGAGCCTTAGTAGCAAGTACCTGGAGTACGAAAAAAAAAACCCGTGATTTGTTTACTTACAGCGTGGTTTGGCAACACCGAGTGAGTGGGGTCAAAGGTCACATTTCATTACCACTTATCACGTTGCACAGTATTTTGTCTTTCATCTTCGATGACATTGATGAAACATCGCCGGAGTTTTACTGCCGAGTTTAAACTCAAGGTAGTTGAGAAAGCTGAAAAAGATGGAAATAGAGAAGCGGGCCGTTATTTTGAAGTGGACGAGAAAGCGGTGAGAAATTGGCGCAAACAAAAGGATGTGTTAAAAAGCATGGGAAGAAAGCGATCCAATCGGCACGGAAAAGTAAAATGGACAGCTTTAGAGGAAAATTTACTGAGATGGGTTCTCGACCAAAGAAATGCCGGACGCTCCATTTCAACAGTTAAAATCCGTCTCCGAGCGAAGTCCATGGCAGAAGAGATGCAGATAACGGATTTCAAGGGAGGAATAAATTGGGTTTACCGCTTCATGTGTCGTAAAAACTTGAGAGTTCGCAGCAGAACGACAATGTGTCAGGCTGTTCCGGACGACGTAGATGAAAAAAAAGCTTCTTTCCTTCAGTTTACAAGGAAAGTTATTGCAGAAGGGAAGTATTCCCTAAAAAATATTATAAATATGGACGAAGTTCCATTAACATTTGATTGCCCACCGAATCGCACCGTCGATACTTGTGGAGTGAAAACAATATCAATAACAACAACTGGTCAAGAAAAGACCCAATTCATAGTGATGCTCGCCTGCTGTGCTGACGGCACAAAGTTGAAGCCGCTCTTAATCTTTAAGAGAAAAACAATTCCCAAGGAAAATTTTCCTCGAAGCGTCGTAATACGGTGCAATGAAAAGGGTTGGTGCAACGAGGACATTATGCTCGATTGGTTTCAAGAAGTTTGGAAGAGAGAAGGTGCCTTTTTTAATTCCAAAGGAGTACTAATTATGGATTCCATGAGGGCACATATAAAAGATAGTGTAAAGGCGGAAGCTAAAAAAAAAAAAAAAAAAAACATTCGGTGCTGAACTTAACATTATTCCAGGAGGTTTAAAAAAAATCCTGCAACCTCTGGATATTAGCGTGAACAAAAGTTTCAAGTCCCACTTACGTATTTGCTGGGAGATCTGAATGTCGGAAGGTTTACATACTTTCCCAAAAGGAGGAAATATGAGACGCGCTTCATGCAGTGAAGTTGCCGAATGGGTCGATAAATCCTGGAAAAGTGTTAAAGTGTCAACCATCCGTTCGGGAATTATAAAAGCCAGGATTGTTAGTGAAAGCGAGGAAATTACTGACAGTGAAGATAGTTATGCTGAAAATGAACTTTCGGACACTCTTCCCGAAAATATATTAGAACTGTTTGATTCTGATACCGATGAATTGGACTTTGAAGGTTTTCCTGAATTTAGTAGAATGTGTGATTAATTAATATATTATTAATTAGTAAGCACTGTTTTTATTTGTATTCAGCATTTTATTTCCAAAGGTATATTAGTAAGCAAGTACTTTTTTTTCTATTTATACTTAGTTCTTTGTTTCTAAAATACATTAATATCGCCATATTAAAAAAATGTAATTTCGGACGTATAGTCCGCGGACTATCCGATGGTGCAGACTATCTGACGATTTTTGAAATTTTTTTATATAAAATCGTGTCTGCAGACTATACGATGGTGCGGACTATACTTGCGAAATTACGGTATTTTTTTTTTAATTTGATACCCTTTATATCATAATTGCTCTTTATTTCATAAATTATGTTTCATATTTTTAATTGTATAATTTATGCATGCCATCTCACCAGATTTAAATTGATGATCTATAATCTGGAAAAAACCCTAATCCGGAATCAGAGAAGTCTCGACGAGTCCGGATTACGGACTTTGTACTGTAATGAATATGAAAAGCTCTCTCCAGTTGACAGTTTCACAGCATTTTATGTACTCGCTCTGTTAGGTAAACTTAAAAGAGGAAACTAAAGTTAGCAAACTGAATTAGAAACTCTCCCTCTGTTCGATACGTTTAGCAAACTGGATTAAGACACTCTCCTTAGTTTTTCTGTAGTATCTAAACTGATTCATTATGGCTGCATATGATAAGAAAGGAGTTTGAAAATCATTGGTTGATGATACCACTAAAACCGAGTTATTTTAAGTAGCAAGCATAATGTAGCCATTCTGTACCAAAAGCACAGTCACAGAATTACAACTTTCAATACTAAGTGAAGACATTACTGTGGATGTTTTTACTTCTGCATTGTTAGAACATGTCACCTCACATCTCTTAATGGCTTGAGAATTTGGCTTCAGTCTTTTAGACTGCAACTTGCATGGCAAATGCATAAACAAATATTCTTATCTTCATATGGATTGCTGCAGATGTAAAGGGTCACATAACATTAAAATGTCAAAACATACAAAAAATATAATATTTTACAGCTTAATATCTTTATAACTGATTTATGATTGTGAAATCTTGTATATTTACTTCAATATCTACAATAGTGCATTTGCCACTTTTACATTATATTCCAGATATTTTAATTAAACGGTTTAAAATAAAATAAAAATAAAATACCTTCTTTGTTATCAACCATAAAACTGTAATCTGTACTACATACAATATTATGGATTAAAAAAAAAAACTAACCATTTTAAACTGATTTAATTTCAAATTAGACAAATAATATATAATTAA